CAAACAAAAGCCCAGGACCAGACGGCTTCACAGGGGAGTTTTACCAAACATTCAAGGAAGAACTAAAACCTATCCTCCTCAGACTACTACAAAAAATTCAAGAGGAAGGAACACTTCCAAGCTCATTCTATGAAGCCAGCATCACCCTAATACCAAAACCAGGTAAAGACAACACAATGAAAGAGAATTACAGGCCAATATCCCTCATGAACATAGATGCCAAAATCCTCAACAAAATCTTAGCAAATCGGATCCAGCAGTACATCAGAAAGATCATACACCATGACCAAGTAGGATTTATCCCAGGGATGCAAGGATGGTACAATATCCGCAAATCAATAAACGTGATACATCACATAAACAAATTGAAAGAAAAAAACCACATGGTCATATCAATTGATGCAGAAAAAGCATTTGACAAAATTCAACACCCATTTTTGATAAAAGCTCTCAGCAAGGTGGGAGTAGAAGGATCATACCTCAACATAATAAAAGCCATATATGACAGGCCCACAGCCAACATCATACTCAATGGACAAAAACTAACACCATTTCCCCTAAGAACAGGAACAAGACAGGGATGCCCCCTCTCACCACTCCTGTTCAACATAGTACTGGAAGTGTTAGCCATTGCAATTCGGCAAGAAGAAGAAATAAAAGGCATCCAAATTGGAAAAGAGGAAGTAAAACTGTCCTTATTTGCAGACGACATGATATTATACATACAAAACCCTAGAGACTCCATCAAAAAGCTACTGGACTTAATACATGAATTTGGCAATGTAGCAGGATACAAAATTAACCCCAAGAAATCCGAGGCATTTCTATACACCAATAGTGAACTTTCAGAAAGAGAGATTATAAAAACAATCCCGTTTACCATCGCACCAAAAAAATTAAGCTACCTAGGAATAAACTTAACTAAAGAGGTAAAAGACCTCTACTCAGAAAACTACAGGACGTTGAAAAAAGATATAGAGGAAGACATAAACAGATGGAAGAACATACCGTGTTCATGGATTGGTAGAATCAACATCATTAAAATGTCCATACTACCCAAAGCAATCTATAAATTCAACGCACTCCCCATTAAAATACCAACGGCATACTTCAGAGATCTAGAACGAACTCTCCAAAAATTCATCTGGAATAAAAAAAGACCTCGAATAGCTGCAGCAATCCTGAAAAAGACCAAAGTAGGTGGGATCTCAATACCAGATATCAAGATGTATTACAAAGCCACTGTTCTCAAAACTGCCTGGTACTGGCACAAGAATAGGCATATAGATCAATGGAATAGAATAGAGAGCCCAGAAATCGGCCCGAACCAATATGCTCAATTAATATTTGACAAAGGAGGCAAGAACATACAATGGAGCCAAGATAGTCTCTTCAATAAATGGTGCTGGGAAAATTGGACAGATATATGCAAGAAAATGAAACTAGACCACCAACTTACACCATACACAAAAATAAACTCAAAATGGATAAAGGACTTAAATGTACGACAGGAAACTATAAAAATTCTAGAAGAATCCAAAGGCAACAAAATCTCAGACATATGCCGAAGCAATTTCTTCACTGATACAGCTCCTAGGGCACTTGAAACTAAAGAGAAAATGAACAAATGGGACTACATCAAAATAAAAAGCTTCTGCACAGCAAAAGAAACCATCAACAAAACAACGAGAAAACCCACTGTGTGGGAAAACATATTTGCCAATGTCATATCCGATAAGGGCCTAATCTCCAAAATTTATAGGGAACTCATACAACTTAACAAAAGGAAGATAAACAATCCAATCAAAAAATGGGCAAAGGACCTAAATAGACACCTTTCAAAAGAGGACATTCAGAAAGCCAAGAGACATATGAAAACATGCTCAAAGTCACTAATCATCCGAGAGATGCAAATCAAAACAACAATGAGGTACCATCTCACACCTGTCAGACTGGCTATCATCAACAAATCAACAAACGACAAGTGCTGGAGAGGATGTGGAGAAAAAGGAACACTTGTGCACTGCTGGTGGGAATGCAGACTGGTGCAGCCACTATGGAAGACAGTATGGAGTTTCCTTAAAAAACTGAAAATGGAACTCCCATTTGACCCTGTGATCCCACTTCTAGGAATATATCCCAAGAAACCGGAAACACCAATCAGAAAGGATATATGCACCCCTATGTTCATAGCAGCACAATTCACCATAGCTAAGATCTGGAAACAGCCTAAGTGCCCATCAGTAGATGAATGGATTAGAAAACTGTGGTACATCTACACGATGGAATACTATGCTGCTCTAAAAAGGAAGGAACTCTTACCATTTGCAACGTCATGGATGGAACTGGAGAGCATTATGCTAAGTGAAATAAGCCAGTCAATGAAGGAAAAATACCACATGATCTCACTCATTCATGGATAATAGAGACCATTATAAACTTTTGAACAATAATAGATACAGAGGCAGAGCTGCCTCAAACAGATTGTCAAACTGCAGCAGGAAGGCCGGGGAGGGTTGCGGGGCAGGAGGTAGCGGGGTAAGAGATCAACTAAAGGACTTGTATGCATGCATAGAAGCATAACCAGTGGACATAAGACATTGGGGGATAGGGGAGGCTAGGGGATTGTCTAGGGCGGGGGGATAAAATGGACACATATGTAATACCCTTTGTAATACTTTAAGCAATAAAAAAAAAAAAAAAAAAAAAAAAAAAAAAAAAAAAAAAAAAAAAAAAAAAAAGACAAAATTGATACATAAGAGGCATACACAGGTCCCATTACCAATTACAAACCAGGGATAGAATGGAAGAAAGCAGGAACCAAACAGAGAATGTAGGAACTAAAAAATCAGCTAGGGGATAGCAGCGCAAGGTCTAGAATGAAGCAAGAGAAACCTGAGGTGACAGATAAAGGGGATCTCACTCAGCACCTTCTTGTGTCCTGAGCACCTCATTTGCATCACCTTAGACCCTGCTGGGCCCTGAGGGAAAGACATAAAAATGTGAAGGAAAAGAATATGAACAAAGAAAGACACAGAAGGAAATGAATGCCAGTACATAGAAAAACTGAGGGAGACACAAAAGAAACTATGTAAAGAATGAGTAAAGAACAATGAATAAAAAACTGGTTCAGAGATGACTGAATAAAGAGAGAGAGCAGACAAATCAAGATATTGTTTTATTTGAGAGACAGTCATAGGTAAAAAGACACAAGGGGCTGTTCACAATACCATTGAGAAGTTAAGGTGTCCACAAAGATCAAAAGGGCCCTGGAACATTCTCAGATAAAAATAGGCCTCCTATTGCTTCTTGGACTTTTGACTAAGATCAGGTGTAGTATCTATTTTTATCAGTTTAGTATCTGATACATCCTGTCTCTGAGGACAGTGTTTTGTGGGGTTGTATGGTGTCAACCCAATGAATTCAATTTAAAATGATAAATTTTTTAAAATGACCTCTTTCCAGATATCTAATTATTTCCATGACTTCAGTCACCATTTATGATCTATTGATTTCCAAACACACATCTCCAGCCCAGACCTGTCACCTATGCTCATTTGATCAAGTGCCTGAAGCTCTTGATGGGAAGATATAATGAACATCGCTACTGGAGGCTGTATCAGTTTTCTACTGCTAAGTGGCAAACAGTTCCAAAATGTAGTGGATTAAAAAACAACCATGATTTTATTTGCCACTTCTGTCAATTCCAACTTTTACAAATCTCCTCTACTCTAATCCAGACCCCTTCACTTCTCACTTCAGTATAGGAACAGTCTCCTGCTGGGCTCCTTTTTCCTATCTTGCTCCTTTCAGATCCATTCTTCACACTTCAGCTCAATGGACCTTTCAAAAATTCAAACAAGGTCTTATGGCTCTACTGTTTAAAACCCAATACCATCTTGTGGCCCTCAGTATTAGGTCAACACTGCATGCTGTGGGGATTAAAGGACGCCTACCACAGCTTCATATTTCCCCTTCCTTCATGCCACCTTCCCATTGAAAAAAACTCCTTTTAGTTACTTGAATTTGCCAAGCTCTCACAACTAAATCTCTGCCTTTACACATGTTTTTGGATAACAGTTTGGTATAATCTTTTAATGGTTTTATTTTTTAATGGATAACTTATATTATGGAATACTATACAGCAGTGAAAATAAATGTGCAAAGTAAATACAAATGACTTTAACACACATAATGTTGAAAAAATAAGTCAAATCCCCACAACTAAATGGCAGAGAAGCAGAGACATAAAGAAGACATGGTTCCATTTATACAAATTTATATAAAATATAGAACTGACAAACTTAATTATCTGTGATATTGAAAGTCAAAGTGATGGTTAACTTAAGCAAGATTGGTGGGAACAGTTAGTGACAGTCATCACTAAGAGGCTTCTGGGGTGTTGTCAATCTTCTATTACTTGACCAAAGTTATGGTTACTCAGATATGCTTCCTCTATAACAGTGGTTCTCAACCTTCCTAATGCCGCGACCCTTTAATACAGTTCCTCATGTTGTGGTGACCCCCAATTTCATTGTTACAAATTGAACATAATTAAAGCATAGTGATTAATCACAAAAACAATATGTAATTATATATGTGTTTTCCAATGGTCTTAGGTGACCTCTGTGAAAGGGTCATTCAACCCCCAAAGGGGTCACCACCCACAGGTTGAGAACCGCTGCTCTATAATAATTCAAAATACATGATTTATCCATTTTTATCCATGTATGTTTACAGCGATTATTATTCTTATTTTTAAAAAAGAAAATAAAAAATCATCGTCATCAAATAATGAGAAGAGTGAGTAAAAACAAAAAACAATGATAGTTAAGAGATGCATAAAGGAAAGACAGAGTTGAGCAGCTGAAAGGAGAGGGATGGAGGTAACTTTCCCTAGGGTGGAATTACAGGGAGAAGGGATTGTTGATTGTAGTGAGGGTGCTCTCTCCCTTTGTGGGAGACAAATAAAATTCTTCATTTATTATAATTTTGTTCAGGAGCAGAACTACCCAACCATGGAATCCAAATAAATTCCTGTTCTGTACGTCTGGTAGATATAAAGAAGGAAAAGCCATTTTTTAATACAAATGCTGAAAAGGAAACCCAAATATCTAACGTAATAGGTAAGACTGACTGAAAGAATGTGTGATATGAATCCCAAATACTGTAAGGGTCTGGCACATGTCACCAGGGTCCACCGAGGAGATTCAGGTGACCTTGGACCGAGGCAGGAGAAGAGGGAACCAGCACCTTAGCAGTGATTTTTAGCAGAAAAGGGTTCCTAGGAATTGAAAAAAAAATGCCAAAAAACTGAAATTGCAGATATAAGAATTGATGTCTGAGAAACTATTTCTAAAATAAGAGAGTAATGTATGGTGGTAGGAGATGAAGAAAAGAGAAAACAAAAGATTTTTAAAAAGAAAAAAATAATCAGAGCCAAGTACTTCTAAGAGGAAATGAGAAAAAAATGCATGAAGAAAAGAAGAGGTATAAAGAGATACCATCCCCAGAAAGACAGGCATAATTAAGGGAAATGGGCTGAGCCAAGAGGAAGAATGAAAGAGAGGTGGAATAAGGGTGGGGATTGAAGGTAGACTGAGGATGGAGGTAGGAGATAGAGTAAGGGTGGGGGGAAGAAGTGTGCTGCAGGATGGGCAAAGCTGGTCTCTGTGCATGAATTTCACCACCTTCTGGGTAGGACTTGGAGCAACCTGCAGGTCGCACATTTGGGTACAGACCAGGGAGACCTGAGTTAACTTAGCTTCTCGTTATGGGGTTTTCTGTCCATGGGCTCCTTGGCCCCATCCTGAGACACTAAGGGTTTTTCTCTCTGTGCAGTGATCAGCAGTGATGAAGATGAGTCTCCCAAAGCCTCTACCTCGGAACAAAGAAGGAGGCCTGGTAAGGAGGTGGGAGCTCAAGGCTGGGGCTGCAGGAACCTCAATTAAGTGCTACTGTTTCCTGAGGCATCAGTTCTGATTTATTCTGTACCACGGATCCAGTTTATCCTGCATTCCCATTCTCTGCATTCATTTTACCTTGACCTTTTTGGGAAATGCAGGAAGATAAAAAATAGTTAGATATATATAATTATTAAATATACATATACATTTTTTGAGGATGACATCTATTGATGGGTCCTAATAGTCAACATATGTACTCTATGTTGATAGTACAGTAGAAATAAGCTAGCACTAACTAGTTGTTATGACTATAAAGTGCTGGATTTCTACAGTAATTTCTATAGAGAAGAAAAACCTCATATTTCTTAATTGGACAGTCATGTTGTCATCTGATTACAAACTTTGAATCATGTCTGAAGGTAATTCATCCAACTCTCTAGTGTTAGCAGAAATAAATACTTCAAGTAAAGTATTCTGAAACCCAAAGTGGTGTTTTTTAGAGTTTTTCAGCAACTCATGATATATAGAGTGATTTTTCAAAGGACCTTTGCAAATATATTCTTAGTTTTTCCTTTATAACAACCTTGAGGATTAAGCAGGAAGGACACTATTATCCTTGTTTCTGAATGAGAAAATGCAATCACATAAACCTTTCGGGATCATCTACAAAGCCTCATGAAAATTAAGGGAAAGACAAGGCTACTGGATTCTGTGTTATTTCCTTTGTAAATTAGAGCTCGAAATGGTAAACAAAATGTTGTTTCCTCAATCCCATGAGCAGCACAACTGGTCACAAACTACAGCTATTTAGCGCACAGACTGGTGGTTGGTTTTCCCTTCCTACTTTCTCAGAGAGCATTTAGGAAAACACACTAGGAAAAGATCTAAGAACAAATAAAAATGTTACCTGGTCTTGAGGTTACAAACGATCAGTATTTCAAATAATATGTTCATTCCACTGATCACTAGATCTATCAAAGTAAAATGTAAATGTACTTCAGTTTTCAGGGAGTATGCGTTCTAACTTATGTGTTAGTGTAAGCAAACTGCTCTAAAAGGCCATTTCGATATAGGTCTATGTCTCAGACACAAGAGAACATTATTTCTCAGCCCTGTAAACAGTTCAAGTTGGTGTACTGGAGGCTCTTTACCTTTAGCACAAGATTTCCAAGCTCTCCCCACAAAGAAACAACAAACAAAGGAAGTGTGAAATGACAAGAGAAGGGGTAAGAGGCAGGAGAGAGGTGTAGGAAAGTAAGGTTCAAACAGAGCAGAGGGTCTCTTTGCTAGTGACTTGTCTCTGTTCTAAGGACAAGGAATGGAGCATCACTAACCTACAAGGCAGGTGACATAGAGGGACAGACTAGGTGGGCCTGTGTGTAGGCCATGGTATACATGGGTTTTCAAGATTTTTCAAGTTGTATTAGAGCAGTGGTCGGCAAACTGCGGCTCGCAAGCCACATGTGGCTCTTTGGCCCCTTGAGTGTGGCCACGAAGTTTCAATTGCACTGTACGTGCGCGCCCGCACGTGGTATTTTGTGGAAGAGCCACACTCAAGAAGCCACAGTTTGCCGACCACTGTACTAGAAAATTTCCTGCTGAACCAGTTTCTTGGTCACATACTGAGACATCTAAAGAATCCTATTCTTTTTTGCACTGATCAGTAACCTTGACTCCTTAGAATCAAATGAGGAAGGAGAGATCCAAGAAGCCACCTGCTCAGCACCTGAGATTGCACCACATTTAAGAATATTAGGATTGCATTCCTGGATGAAAAATATCCAGAGTCTAAACCCAGAGCTCTATTTCCTAATAAATCTTATTCTGACATTCTCTGTATGCATTGATTCTATTACTTCCAGGGCACAATTTTCTGCTTTTAACTTCTTTGACCCTTTGGAATATGAAAGAGGGCAAAAAGGCATTATAAACTGTTGTTTAACTAGATGAGCCCAATCAATTGATATATTGAAAAGGTAGAAATAATACACTAGCAAATGACTGTCTTTTTTACTACACACTATCATATCCATTAGTGCTGAAGAATTGAAATAATATAGGTAGTCTTTACCAACATGCTTTATATTCTACAGAGCATAGTAAGCACAGCATTTCTGTATTAGTTGACAATATTGTCATTAGTCCCCAACTTAGAAAGTCTTCAAAGAATAATTTGTGCTGCTACTTAATTATTGACATAAAAATAGCTTCAGCCCAATTACTCTCATACCCAAATGATAGTTAAGTGGTGGACTTACATTGTGATTTTTCACAGGGCTTTTATGAATAAAGATTTGTTTTGTTTTCACAAATATTTTAACTCGGAGATAGAGTAACTAAGTTATCTCCACATTATAGATGAGAAAACTGGAGATAGAAAGTGTAAGGGTCGGTTATAAATTCACATGGAGTGTCAAAGGGAGAGCCTAGCATTATGACCCTGGGCACCAGAACTTGATTCAGTTGAAGAAAAGAGAAAAATGATCATCTCAACATCAATATTATCATAAATCCTATCTGCTATGTGACTTATCATAGAATTTGTAAGACTTTGTTGTACAAATAGCTGTTTCTTCCCTCCTACTTTACAGAGCCCCTGGATTTGAGAACATCACCCACATGCAGGAAAAGACTTTGGGAAAATGGTAAGAGTAAATAAAAATTCTTCATAGTTATAAATGAACAGTATTTTCTACCAAATATCTATTCTAACTTTTTTATGTCCTTCAAAGTAAAATATAAATTTGCTTTAATTTTAGCTGGTTTTGATTTTAACTTTTGTATAAGTTAGGCTAATGACTATAACATATAAACACAAAGAGTCAAAGACTCAAACACAGTAGAATTTGAATTTTTTCTCAAGTAAGCATTCCTAGGAGTATTAGACGGTGTGCAGGTGGGGCTCTATTTCACAAAGTCATTCTGGAAAGCAGCCATGGGGAGATCTGCCTTCTTCAATACCAGATTTCCAAGACAGCCCTGAAAGAGGAGCAGAGCTAAAAATAAATGTGAACATAGATAAAAAGCAACAACAAATTCATAAAGACACAAGTAAAAGAAGAAATCAAATTCAGTATAAAAAAAACAGAGGGTCAAGAGAAAGCAGAGATGCCCACTGGGATGAAATAGCTTAGTCCCAGGCTCAGGGGAGAAGGGGGATAAAATACTGACCTACAGGTCACATGAATGCAAAAGGCAGGTGATGGAGGTCTCAGGGAGGGTCATTCTTGCCTAGGTTTCCAGAGCTTCCCAGGTTTTTCCTCTCTAGGCTCCTTTTCATACATTGGGTTGTTCAAAGGGACATTTGCTTCTTCTTCAGGGAGAAATCATGAAGAGTGTTCTGAGTCCAGTGAAGATGAGACGCCCCCGGCAATCAGGGGTTATACAATGAGAAGTGATCCTGATGAGGAGGGTGAGGACTGCCATTGCTGGGCTCCAGGACATCAGGAGTCTGAGCTCATGGTTCCTGTTTCTCTGAGCTCACACCATGGCCCAGGGAGCCCATTCCTGCCTTGGTCTCATGTGGCCACTTTAAAAACTGCAAAGAAAGGAAACATTATAATTCTGGCTTAACCAAAAAGGATGGCTCTTGTTGGATGGCAGTGAATCTTATTCCATGTTCTCAGACCTGTCCTCATCCCCAAGTGTGGTGGATCACATTGTGATGTTCCCATACTCACCAGCTATTCTGCACAGAGCAGAGAAAGTGGGACAGGCAGCTACTGTTCAGTTTTGTCATAAACTTGTTCAACCTCAATGGACTCTGGTCATACTCTCTATTGACAGAAGGAACAGCTTCTGGTTATTACCATCAAATCCCATTTACAACTTTTGTCCAATGACCCCCAATATGACATTGGCCTACAGAGTGATAGTTTTTGAAATAGCTTCACAATTATGGGGAATCACAAATGTGATAAATAGTTTACATAGACTCATGGTAGCTAAGTCCAGATTCACTGCCAAATTAGTTAGCTGCCAGCCTATGAAAAAATGTTGGTTTTCTTTTTTTTTAATTTTGTTTTATTGCTTAAAGTATTACAAAGAGTATTACTTATGTCTCCTTTTTTTTCTCCCCTTGACCTTCCCCTGGCCTCCCCTAGCCCCCAGTGTCTTGTGTCCATTGGTTATGCTTACATGCATGCATACAAGTCCTTCGGTTGGTCTCTGTTGGTTTTCTAACACTAATTTTGCATATGGGCTAAAGGATGTGGGTCTTTGCTCCACTTGGTATTGATCTCTTTCCTTTAGATGGGAAGAAACAGAAATAAAAATCATCCCATCTTTATGTTCCAAAGCCTTCTACAATGTGAAGAGTCCTAAGATTTAACTCTTTTCGTTATGGAGTACTAGTTGTGTCTTCCCTTATCTCCTAGATTCTCCAGATATTGGAAACCAATCTACTCTGAAGATGAGCAATAAGAAAAGACGTAAGAACAATCAAAACTCTTGATGTAACAAATTGTTTTCTTTGCTACAAAAGCTTCAGCCAATTTTTTGTTATATCCTTTACATTTAAAAAAGTTATTAGGGTTTTAGGTGATACGCCTGATACATTTTGCATTGGGTGGGCTGAGCTAATTGGTATAAAAGTTTAATGGCATTACGACCAACGCAAGTTTATGTTCTTCACTCAAATAAAGGACAAAGTAGTTCTGAGGTGGAGGGATACTCTGCTCCACAAGATCATTGAGGACGCGGCTGATAGAGGCCCTGACTTCTAGAAAATGTTGCTTCCATGGTTCCCCTGGAAAAAAACAGAGTAGAAGTAGAAGTATCTACAGATAAGTGGAAGGTTAAGAAATGATGACTAAAGGAAGTGCCTTCCATGGCAAAATTGTCCCTGACTTTGGGGATGGCTCACAGAGCTACCTTGACCAACAGGTCAGATGGAGCCACAGGGTGGCCTGGCAGTACGAATGTTCCTACCCCTCTTACACAAGCTTTCTCTTTCCAATTTTTCTTTTGAAGATCCCATGCTGGGTTGGTTCCTAGGACGCAGACTGGGACTGTTACAGAATTTTATTTTTTTCTGCAGGGATCAGCAGTGGTGACTCTTCAGAATTGAGTAATGGAGAAGAGCCTCAGGAAACTTCTAGTTCAGCCCTCAGAAATGGGTCAGGTAACGAAGATTAAGATGCCAAGCCTTGGTCTTCGAATGTCAGGAATCTGAAATTAAAGCTACTGTTTCCAGATGCATTTTTCTCTGAGCATCTTGAAGAACTTATACCCAGTTAATCCTGGCAACTCCTTTCAGCATTTTAGAAAATGGGAGGAGGCAGGAAATTATTACAAGCTCATGTTAAACAGGATGAGTCCTATTGATTAAATGTATATAATTATACATTGCTGTTTTAAAAGAAATAAATAGAAAAATGATAACACCTTTTTAAATACTTGCTATGTTGCCCATTAAGATCATAGATTATATTGGTTCACATTAATATCATTTGTAACGGTAAAAGACAACTGGCCCTGCTATGTAATTATAGACAGAAATAAAAGCTTCAGATCAACCACTCTCAAACTTAGAATAGTTTGTAAAGGTTTCCATCACAGCCAAACCGGTTTGGCTCAGTAGATAGAGCGTCGGCCTGTGGACTGAAAGGACCCAGGTTCGATTCCGGTCAAGGGCATGTACCTGGGTTGCGAGCACATCTCCAGTAGGAGATGTGCAGGAGGCGGCTGATCGATGTTTCTTTCTCATCGATGTTTCTAACTCTCTATCTCTCTCCCTTCCTCTCTGTAAAAAATCAATAAAATATATTTAAAAAAAAAAAAAAGATTTCCATCACAATGTGAATGGATTATATCGTGTTATTTTAAAGTACTTTGGCAAATGAGATTTTACTTAGTCATCACAAAGTCTTTAAGACTTAGGCAGGCTAATTCTTTTGTTGTTGTTAATCCCCACCTGAGGGTACTTTTCCATTTGGTTTTTAGAAAGAGAGGAAGAGACAGAAAGAAACATTGATGTGAGAGAGAAACGGATTGGTTGCCTCCCACACCAAGGTACTGGAATCGAACCAGAACCCTCAGTCTGTGGGCCAAAGCTCTATCCACTGAGCCAAACTAGCTAGGGCTAGGCAGGCTAATTCTTTCTATCCCCATTTTAGGATAAGGAAATTGATGTAAAAGTTTATAAGGGTCAAAAAGGATGAGTGTTGCATGTTACAGGCAGGAAAATAAGGGCTATTTCAATATGATCAAAGTCCAAAGAGGAGGTACAAGGGACTTGGCATATTCACAAGGGAATGTATCAGTGCTTGATATAAGAAAACTTATTTAGCAAACAACAATAAATAAATATATACATATACATATATACGTGTGTGATGTATTGTTATAACCACCTATAATGGTGTAGATATTAACATATTAATATCTTGATGGAGAAGAAAATATGAAAATCAGAAAGAATCAGAAAGGTAGAAATAGAGCCAACTATATGGTATACAAAACACCTAGAATAATAAAACTAGAAAGAATGGACAGAGAAATAAAAATAAACAGAGATTAACAGTGTCATTGATTTAAAAAGAGAAATCAAGGACAGAGAAGCTCACAAAATTGACAGGATGGAGATAGAAAGTATAAGGCAGAGCAATGAGCAAAAAAACTAAGAAGTAATAAGAAAATGTGGTATGGCTAGATAGAAAAAGAAACAGGTATCCATTGTATGTGAGGTGTAGTCATTGGAGTAGGTGTACTTTTCCCTAGCATAACCACATTGAAGTGCGTTCCTGGTCACCATGTACTGTGTGTTATTTTCTTACTTCCTGTCAGTGTCCAGTGTCCTGTCTTCAAATGAATAGAGGAAGAGAGCCAGAAGAGATGCCAGCCTGATAGACTGTGGTGGACAAGCCAATTGTGATACTACTTATCAGTTACTAGAGGCTTGGTGCACAAAAATGTGTGCACTCAGGGGAGGGGGGGTCCCTCAGCCTGGCCTGTGCCCTCTCGCAGTCTGGGACCCCTCAGGGGATGACCACCTGCTGGCTTAGGCCTGCTCCCCGGGAGATTGGGCCTAAGCTCCCAATCAGACATCCCTCTGGCAGCCCGGCAGCCCTCGGGGGATGTCCACTTGCCACCGGGGAGCAAATCTAAGCTGCAGTCTGACATCCTTAGCGCTGCTGAGGAGGCAGGAGAGGCTCCCACCACCACTGCTCTACTGGCAGCCATCAGCCTGGCTTGTGGCTGAGCAGAGCTCCCCCATGTGGGAACACACTGACCACCAGGGGGCAGCTCCTGCATTGAGCATCTGCCCCCTGGTGGTCAGTGTGTGTGTCATAGTGACCAGTCATTCCCAGTCCTTCTGCTGTTAGGGTCAGTTTGCACATTATCCTTTTCCTATATAGGATAGAGGTCTGGTGCACAGGTGGGGGCCGGCTGGTTTGCCCTGAAGGGTGTCCTGGATCAGGGTGGGGGTCCCACTTGGGTGCCTGGCCATCCTGGGTGAGGGGCTGATGGTTGTTTGCAGCTGGTCACACCCCCTTTAGGGTGGGGGTCCCCACTGGGGTGCCTGGCCAGCCAGGATGAGGGGCTGATGGCTGTTTTCAGGCTGGCCACACCCCCTTTAGGGTGGGGGTCCCCACTGGGGTGCCTGGCCAGTCTGGGTGAGGGGCTGAGTGCCGTTTTCAGACTGGCCAGCGACTGAAGCTCCCAGCCTCTCTTTTTTTATTTCTTTTTTTTTATTCTGAGATTTATTTACCTTCTATAATTGAAACATTGTTACTGTCACTGGCAGTCCCAGCTCTGAGGCCGCAGCTGGCTGAAAGCAGGTATCTGGGGTTTGTTTAGCTTCTATAATTGAAATGTTGCTTTCGGGCTCAGAGCCGGGCCGCAGCAGGCGGGGAACCTTGGCTTCCTCCATCACTGGAGCAAGCAAGCCTCATGTTCGCTTCAGCACTTCCTTCTTTTCCCTACTTCTCCCCAAAAACATTGCCTCACATGTGCACACAACTGAACACACACTCATATACAGACAGACTTGAGCACAGATTATGACTACAGCTTCCACTTTGAGGGAACCGAAGAGAAAGAGGAGCAGGACTCCTGAATGGAGGGTGGGGACAATGAGTAGATAATGTGAGGAGAATGGAAAAGATAGACTGAGGTCATTAAATGAAAAGGTATCTGAGTAAGTTTCAAGGTTTTCTAAGTGGACATGGGATCCAAATATCACCAGATGGGGATTTTGTGAGGCAGAGTAGGATGACTTTCAAGATAATGTCTCAGAAGTTTGCCAGAAATCTATAATAATAAAAGCATAATATACTAATTAGACTGGACGACCTTCTGGATGAAGCCCAGGTCCCATGTGGGTGCCAGAGGGAAGATGGTGCTGGCAGCTGGGGGAAGAAAGGCCTATTCTTGCACAAATTTCATGCATTGGGCCTCTAGTATGGTAAGAAATTTCATGACTGACAGACCTGCAATGCAGAAAGATCAGAGGAAATTGGCAAAAGAAATAGTGGTCAATAGAGAAGTCAGTGTCAAACGAGCAGGCATTTGGTGATGATAAAAGTAGTAATCTGTAAGACTAAGCAGAACATTGATGAAGAAAATGTGAAGACAACGATTGCGATTATAAAAACAGCAAAAAGATCAAGATGAGACAGAGAAGGAACCTAAGAAGCAAAGAAGAACAAAAGGGAAGTGACAGTGGAAAGAGGATTACTTCAATAGTGAAACCATATCCAGAGGCAGAAGCATAGAAAATAGATGGGAATGAGATGTATATAGGGAGTAATCAATGGAGAGGAATTAGATGAGGCACAAAAAGAACTGTAGAGAAAGAGTTAAAATAAGAGAGAGAGATGGTAGAGAAGGTGGGGACAGTGGGAAAGGGAGAGAAGGGAGAGATGGAGAAATTGTGGGATCTGAGATGACCATAAGACAAAAGCAATGTCTGCACAAGGGGTGGTTCACACCAGCAGTAAGTTTTCAGAGTAAGGTGTCCCCAGGTATCCAAATGGTCTGTGTAACTCATCCAGATTACTAGAGATGTCACCAGGCATTTCACCCATTCTTATGGCTTTAATCACCATCCATAACCTAATGGTTCCTATACATGTCCAGTCCAGCCCTGTCTTCTAAGCTTCTAAACTTATTCATCCAGCTGTCAGCAAGACCTCTGGTCAAGGTCTTAAAGGCCTTAGTCTTCTCCTCTTAGATGTCTTTCCATTTGAAATTCAACTCTTCTAAAACTGAGCACATCATTTTTTTCCCTAAAACCAACACCTGCTCCCAGTGTTCTCCAGCTATAAAACACACTATTAATTTGCCAATTCTTTAAAGTTCATATTCTCAGAGTCATCAGTATGACACTCTGTGACCTAACTCTATTAATTCTTCCTTTTAAATGTCTCCAGGCTGTCCATGCATCTCCATCATCAAAGCTATCACTTTAATCAATGTCTATTATCACTTCTCACTGGAACTAGAGTGACAGGCTCCTGCTTGTCCTCCTGCTTTCAATTTTGTTCACAACAGATGTATTCTAAGTTATTTAGCTAAATTGGTCTTTCAAAAATTCAAATATGCCCATGCTGATCTCCTACATAAAATCCATTGTCCTTCACTTTCCTTTAGGATTAAGTTAAATTTCCTTTGTGTGGCCCCCAAAGCCACCTACCTTGAGGCTCCTGCCTCTTTCTCCATCGTTATCATTGCCACTAACTTTCCTACTTCATGTTCAGACATCCCTAAGCTCCTCTTGGTTACTTGCAATCACTGAATGTAGACCTTTGCATATGCTTCTCCATCCACGTGGGGCTATTGTCTTGGTCCCTTTCCTCCATAATCTGGCTAACTCCTGCTTCCATGATACATACTCTGGAAGGAGTCCCTTATCTCAGACTAGTTCTTCCTTCTGTACCCTCCCCTCCTTCCAGAGTACTCTGTGTGATCTGTGTTCTAACATTCTTCAACTCTCAATATATTCACTTATTTATGTTTCATTGTCATGGTTGCTCTTAAGTTGACAAGCACTGACACTTCAGTAGTCATATGTCCTGCACTGTTATCAGTGTTCGCCTCAGCACCTGGCACAAAACAGAAGCTTAACAAATGTGCTGAGCAAATGAAAATAATTGTTTACTCTCTGTATTCCAACATTTGGAAATTTGTCTGGCCAAAGTTAGTTTATTAGAGTATCTATATGGAATATTTACAAAAACTGTTTTAATAATTTAATTTTATATATGTGTGTATAGACATATAAATGTAATAGTATTTCTGGAAAAGAATAACATCACATAAAAATGAATACAAATATTTGTAAAAAATGTCATTAAGGAATGGATGGGAGAAGCACATAAAAAAATGGAAAGCCAAAGATGCAGATTTGAGGCAAAGAAAATCGAAGAAAAAAAAAGATTGAAAGGAAGGGACAGAGATAATGAGGAAAAACAATAGACAAAGATATTTCAGAGGTAGAGCCATTCTTTGATGTAGTGGGAAAGGAGGATGATTCAAGGCCAGGGGTGCAAATTAAAATTTCAAATTAAAGTTTTTTACAAGTCATAAAATAGGAGCAGAGCTCCAAGGACTTGGAAATCAGAAGTGTTCTTGTGTCGTGTGTTCACCAAGTGTTGTGCCAAGAGGCCAAGAAGCAAGGTCTGAATGTAGCCAAACATCTGAAATGATGGGTAAGGCCACCTGTGGATCTTGGCGTGGAGGTGACTCAGCAGATACTACAGACCCTTGGTATGTCAGTGATAGGTGATCAGGGCTCAAGGACAACATGAGGTATCTTAGCAGGGAGTAGGTCAGTTATGAAGGTGAGAGTCACAGGACCCAGGCTGCAGGATGTCAGGAGTCTGAAATCAGAGTACCTGTTTCCTGCTGCCCTTGACTCTGAGGACACTTTGATAAGGAAGGGGTCCAATCCATGTGAGAATCTCATTCTCTACATTTGCTTGACTTGACGATTTTGAGAACAGCAGGAAGGCAGCAGATCATGATCACAAAATGGGTCCCATTGATTTTACATGGATTTATATACTAAAAATACACTGATTTAAAAAAAAAAAAAAAAACAGTATCTGGTGTACTATATTAGTGTATCAATACCAAAGTGTTGGATTTATATAGTTACTTCCACACTTCTTCATGGAGCAAAGAAAGCCAAGTATTCTGTTGGTAGATAATAGTGTCACTTGGTCACAACCTTGAAAAAAACCTCAAAAGACATAAAAATGGTCCTGTTACTTGTCAGGAAAAAGACCTCAGATAACTAATCTTAAAACCAACATATAGTTTTAAAGGCTGCCCTCCAGCATACTATTGATTTATATAGTGATTTCTCATTAACTTTTGCAAATAATATCTTATTTAATATTCATTAAGAAATCCAAAGCCTGCCCGGCTGGAATGGCTGGTTAAGCATCGACCAATGAACCATGAGGTCCCGATTCCATCACAAGTCCAATTGCAGGCTTAATCCTCAGTCCAGGGCGTGCAGGAGGCAGCCGATCGATGTCTCTCCCTCACCAATGCTTCTATCTCTCTATCCTTCTCCCTTTCTCTCTCTCTAAAATCAATAAAAACATTTTTTTAACCTAAAGCCTGAACAGGATAACTTTGTTACCTACCCATTTCATAAATGAGGAAACTGATGCATATAAGTCGTGAAGAGGGTTTTTTTTCAAAGTCTCAGAGAAATCAAGACTTTAGATATCAACTAAAGGACTTGTATGCATGCATATAAGCATAACCAGTGGACATAAGACATTGGGGGATAGGGGAGGCTAGGGGACTGTCTAGGGCGGGGGGATAAAATGGACACATATGTAATACCCTTTGTAATACTTTAAGCAATAAATTTAAAAAAAAGACTTTAGATATCAATTTATATGTTTAATTCATTTATATACTCAGACATCCTTATAAACTCAAGCTTTCCACAATGTGAATTGTCATAAGATTTGTAATTTTTATTTATAAATTACAGTTCTCTGACCACCACCTGTTACTTTCTAGATACTATGGATATTGGAAGCAGTTCTATTTTGGAAAAACACAGTGGGAAACCAAGTAAGAGTGAATAAGAATTTACTTGATTTTTATGTTACAAATTAACTGGTTTTTAATGCTAACATTTATTATCATAATTTTCTACTAGAGCCTAGTGCATGAAAATTGATGCACTGGAGGGGTTGTACTTGAGCCCAGCCTGCCCCCTCTCACTGTCTGGGAGCCATCAGGGACAGGAGGTGAACCAGGGATCAGGGGAAGGCAACGCCCCATCAAACCTCTGCTGCTGCCACTGCCAGCAGTGCAAGCCTCAGCCAGCCCTGGTTACCTGAGCCTCGGGCGGCCCTGGGCGACTGGGAAGCCACCATCTGAGGCTTGCCTGCACCTTGGGCCAGCCCTGGGCAGCTGGAAAGACACCATCCAAGGTTTGCCTGCACCTCAGGACAGCTCTGGGCTGCTGGGGGGCTGAGGGGACTGGGGACTCCAAAGGCAGGCACACGGGGCTGGCCCAGCCTTGCCGCGCACCTGCCACCCCAGCAGGTCTGAGAGGACTGGGTGCCACCATCTTGTGGCTGTGGGCACCGCCATCTTTGAGGGCAGGGCAGTCAATTAGCATATTTTCCTCCTTGTTGGTTGTGGGCACTGCCATCTTTGTGACAGCATGAGGGTCAATTAGCATATTCCCCCTTTATTAGATAGGATACCTTTCATAAGGCAAAAAACAAAATGCCTTTTAAAGTAACTATGTTTTTTTCAAAATGCTCATGTCTTCATGTTGGTTTTTATTCTGATTTTGAAGTATATGGTTTTATTCTGATTTTGAAGTATGTGGTTTATAAAAATTAGTGTATATCTTTCCAGAATTTCTCTATGCAGGAATTAGTACATTTTGGAATATAGTTTTATTTGCCAAATAGGTTAATTTATCCATACCTCTCCTTTTCCTGCTTTTTAAAATTAATATGTAATACATAAACAATAAAAACATTTAATATTTTTAATAACTATAATAAGTCTTATTTAAGTGCTTTAACATGCAATACTTTCATTTTTGCGGGTGAGCATTTTTTATTTTTTTAGTCATTTGTTTTACTTCTTTGTGGAACTCTTTGTCATGAAATGTTATGTCAGTGCTTTCTGTTATGGTGTTTGTCTTCTTGCTATGCTGAATTAATACAGAAATTCCTATATAATATATATTAAACATTCGTCATAAATGTTGCTGGTATGTTGTCCCACTTGTTTTTGTTTTTTATTTATTAATATAATCTTGCCTGGTAGAAGTTATAAATTTGTAGGTAGTCAAATTTCTCATATTTTTCTTTTTAATACTATCATATTTACAACAGTCATTTCTAGCTTAAGATTTTAAAAGTATTATTCTATATTTAATTCTAGGGTGTTTTAAATATTTGATCATTTTTCATGTATGAATCTATAATCCCTGAGTTTTGCTTCTTTGGTATATGTGAGATGGGAATCATTAAATATTCAATCCACTATTACATCGTGGTTTCAATCATCTCTTTGATCACACAGTGTCTTTACTTATCTATCTACTAGTTTTTGTCCCTTGATTGAAGGACTTACAGAAAAGAAAGTTGATCCAGAGGTCCCACCATCTTGATGACTTACTGGGAGTGAATTTTTTAAAATATATTTTTATTTATTTCAGAGATGAAGGGAGAGGGATAGGGAGATAGAAACATCAATGAGAGAGAATCATTGACTGGCTGCCTTCTGCATGCCACCCACCGGGGATCGAGCCCACAATCCGGGCATGTGCCATAGATTGGAATCAAACCCAGGACCTTTCAGTCTGCAGGCCAACACTCTATCCACTGAGCCAAACCAACTAGGGCAAAAATATTTTTTTTAAATAATATTTTATTGCTAAAAAATGCTACCCATTATCTGGGCCATCAGAGAGTCATAATCTTTTTGCAGGTGGAGGGTGCTGCCTCAGTGTTGGGGCTGCTAACTGATTAGGACAGTGATGGCAAACCTATGACACGCGTGTCAGAGGTGACACGTGAACTCATTTTTTTGGTTGATTTTTCTTTGTTAAATGGCATTTAAATATATAAAATAAATATCAAAAATATAAATCTTTGTTTTACTATGGCTGCAAATATCAAAAAATTTCTATATGTGACACGGCACCAGAGTTAAGTTAGGGTTTTTCAAAATGCTGACACGCTGAGCTCAAAAGGTTCGCCATCACTGGATTAGGGTGGTGGTTGCAGAAGGCTGGAATGACTGTAGCAATTTTAAAAAATAAGACAACCATGAAATTATTGAATCTTCCTTTTATAAATTATTTCTCTATATGATATGATGTTGTCTGATGCCATTTTACCCACAGTAGAACTTCTTTCAAAATTGGATTCAATTCTCTCAAACTTTGCCACTGCCTTATCAACTAATTTCTTTTACTATTGAAACCTTTTATTGTACTTCAAAAATTTTCACAGCTTCTTCCCCAGGAGTAGATTCCAACTCAAGGAACCACTTTTCTTTGCTCATCCATAAGAAGCAGTTCCTCATCTGTTGAAGATTTATCATGAGTTCTCGCTGGTTTGGTTCAGTGGATAGAGCACTGGACTGTGGATTAAAGGGTCCTGGGTTTGATTCCGGTCAAGGGCACGTACCTGGGTTGTAGGTTCCCCAGGCCTGGTTGGTGTGTGTGCAGGAGGCAACTAATCAATGTGTCTCTCTCACATCAATGTTTCTTCTCTGTCTCTCACTCTCCCTTCCACTCTCTCTCAAAAAAAAAAAAAAAAATCAATGGGAAAATAACCTCAAGTGAGGATTAACAACAACAAAAATTACCATGAGATTGCAGCAATTCAGTCACATCTTAAGATTCCACTTCTATTTCTAGTTCTCTTGCTATTTCCACCACATCTGATATTACTTCATTCACTGAAGTCTTGAACTCCTCAAAGTCATCCATGATGGTTGGAGTCAACTTCTTCTAAATTCCCTGTTAATGTTGATATTTTGATCTCTTCCCATGAATCAAGAATGTTATTAATGGCATCTATAATGCTGAATCCTTTCCAGAAGATTTACTTTTATATAGCTGCCATAGATGATTATTTCATCAGAGGAATAATCATCTATGCCAGCTATAGTCGTATGAAATGTATTTCTTAAATAATAAAACTTGGAAGTCAAAATTACTCCTTAATCCATGTGCTGCAAAATAGATATTGTTTTAGGCATGAAAGCAACATTAATGTCATTGTACATCTCCATCAGCACTCTTGGGTGATGTGACCAAGTGCCTTATTGATGAACAGTAATATTTTAAAAGGAATTTTTTTCTGAGCAGTAGGCCTCAATGGTAGACTTAGAATATTCAGTAAACCATGTTGTAGCCAAATATGCTGTCATCCAGGCTATTTTGTTGCATTTATAGAGCACAGCAGAGTAGATTTAGCATAATTCTTAAGGGCCCTGGTCTTTTCAAGATGGTAAATGAGCACTGGCTTCAGCTTAAAGTTACAGCTGCACTAATCCCTCACAGGAGAGTCAGCCTATCCTTTGAAGCCAGACACTGACTTCTCTTCTCTAACTATGAAAGTCCTACATGAAATCTTTTTTCAATATAGAGCTGATTTTTCTATACTGAAAAATGTGTTGTTTATTGTAGTCACCTTCATTCATTATCTTAGCTTAGATCTTCTGGATAACTTCCTGCAGCTTCTTCATCAGCATTTGTTGCTTCACCTTGCACTGATATGTTATGGAGATGGCTTCCTTTCTTAAATCTCATGAACCAACCTCTGCTAGCTTTCAAGGCAAGCCTCTGAAGTCCAGGATGTACACTTTGCTGGTGATGTCTGAGATCTGTTGTTCCTTGATCTCCTTGACATTCCCTTTTATTTGCTGTCAGCCTCTTCCTGATTTCAGCTGCTCTTACGTTTTCCTTATTGTAAATGAGGAAACCTCATATGACTATGCAAAAGCATACTGTAAACAACTGGTACTGTGTAAAGGTAGGTTGTTTTTGTTGCTATTATTGTTTTCAGTGTGATGGCAACCAAGATGGTGTATTGGTACCTGGAGATTTAGCCCCACAAAAGTTGAGTGAAGCCAGTTTGGCAGAGTGCCAACCCATGGACTGAAGGATCTCGGGTTCACTTCCGGTCAAGGGCATGTACCTTAGTTGCAGGCTCCATACCCAGTCAGGGCTAGTGCAGGAAGCAACTCATCAATGTGTCTCTCTCACATCAATGTTTCTCTCTCTTTGTCTCTCCCCTCCCTTCCACTCTATCCAAAAACCAATGGAAAAGTATCTTCCGGTGAGGATTAACAAAAAAACAAAACAAAAAAACTAGACAAAAATAAAATATTTGAAGGTTACTGACATATAAAACTTGTAAATCTCTATTTATAATTCTAAATGATTATTTTATTTTCTGTTTAAAGGAAAAAAGAGAAGGCACATAAGTAAAAAAACCAGTCCCCAAAAAGGTAAGAACAAATGTGAGGATTCACACCTGTGAGCTTACTACAGACCTAGTCTTCTTGCCAGATCCTGTCTTTGCCATAGCCCCGAAATAGCCTATGTCAGTGGTCGGCAAACTCATTAGTCAACAGAGCCAAATATCAACAGTACAACGATTGAAATTCCTTTTGAGAGCCAAATTTTTTAAACTTAAACTATATAGGTAGGTACATTGTTATTAACTTAATTAGGGTACTCCTAAGGCTTAGGAAGAGCCACACTCAAGGGACCGAAGAGCCACATGTGGCTCTCGAGCTGCAGTTTGCCGACCAAGCAAACTTCATAGCTAATAGATTATTTAGAGTACAGATTGAATTATTGTAACAAAGAGACCTCAAAATACAGTGGCCTAAATCACATAATTTGTTTCTCTTTCATCAAACAGGTAGGAAGAATCTGCCTATTTCTTCTGAGTATTTCTGCCACCTTGATATATATATATAAATATATATATATGTATATATATATACACATATATAATATATATATAATATATATATATATATATATATATATCTCAAGAGTCCCAGTGCACAAAAATTTGTGCTCTCGAAGGGGAGGGTCCCTCAGCCTGGCCTGTGCCCTCTCGCAGTCTGGGAACCCTCTGGGGATGACCACCTGCTGGTTTAGGCCTGCTCCCCGGGGGACTGGGCCTAAGCTCCCAATCAGACATCCCTCTGGCAACCCGGCAGCCCTCGGGGGATGTCCACTTGCCACTGGGGAGCAGACCTAAGCTGCAGTGGGACATCCTTAGCGCTGCTGAGGAGGCAGGAGAGGCTCCCACCACCACCGCAGTACTGGAAGCCATCAGCCTGGCTTGTGGCTGAGCAGAGCTCCCCTATGTGGGAGCACACTGACCACCAAAGGTTAGCTTCTGCATTGAGCATCTGCCCCCTGGTGCTCAGTGTGTGTCATAGTGACCAGTCATTCCCAGTCTTTCTGCTGTTAGGGTCAGTTTGCATATTACCCCTTTACTATATAGGATAGAGGCCTGGTGCACGGGTGGGGGCCGGCTGGTTTGCGCTGAAAGGTGTCCCGGATAAGGGTGGGGGTCCCGCTTGGGTGTCTGGCCAGCCTGGGTGAGGGGCTGAGTGCTGTTTTCAAGCTGGCCAGCGACTGAAGCTCCCAGCCTCTCCTTTTTTTCTTTTTTTTTTATTCTGGGATTTATTTACCTTCTATAATTGAAACTTTGTTGCCGTCACTGGAGCTGAGAGCCGGGCTCTTGCTGACTCCAGCTCTGAGGCCATGGCCTGCTGAAAGCAGGTATCTGGGGTTTGTTTAGCTTCTGTAAATGAAACTTTGTTGCTTTCGAGCTCAGAGCTGGGCCGTGGCAGGCGGGGAATCTTGGCTTCCTCCATCACTGGAGCAAGCAAGCCTCCTGCTCGCTTCAGCTGCATGGCTGCCGGCACCATCTTGGTTGGGTTAATTTGCATATCGTGCTGATTAGCCAATGGGAGGCGTAGCAAAGGTATGGTCAATTACCATGTTTGTCTATTATTAGATAGGATTATGTTCCATACATGAATATATATATTCATGTAAGGCACATAATAAGCATGTGTTAACTGTTATCTCTCATTATTATTATTCTCAGTGTTCCTTGAGATGCAAATTAAACTCTGTCTTAAATTCTTTTTATAATTAATGTCGGTACAAATAAATTAGGATTAATGTGAGGGTAAAGAAAATGAAATCTAAAATTAAACTTGCTTAAACATTTAAGGCTTGGTAAATATAAGGCTATGGGTTATATATTTTTCTTTATATGTTGGGCTCTTGAAAAGTTACAGTAAAAGGGAATGTTTAAAAAGCACTATTATATACAATGTGACTTCTCACAGTGTCTGTTTTTATTTTTATTTTTTTCAGTGAGAAGCAGAGGCAGAGATAGAATCCAGTCTCTGAATAACAGAGTCCCAAGGAAAAGAAGCAAACCAAAAGGTAAAATTTTTAAAGATGGATACATTTTCAATTACAAAACATCTAAATTCTCCTGCTATATTCTTTGCTTTAAGTAACAAACCTATTTCCCTAATCACTTTATGTAATTATACTAACTGTTGAGGAATATATCAGATTTAGTCAATTCCAAAATTCATCAGGGATTGAAAGATAACACTGCAAACAAGTAACTTGGTAATGAATCCACAAACAGAATCCAGGGCCCAGGGGCCATGGCAGGGCCAGGTCTGCTAAATTGCTAACGTTCTGACTGGAAATACAGCTGGGGTGTTTTTCTAAAACACTACTATTTGCAATGCAATTTTATAAACAAGAGACATTTATGTTATTTTCCCCCCCTAGGGATAAAAGCAGCCAACACCAGGCCTTTGAAAAGAAGCAGAAAAAGAGGTAAAAAGAAGTGATTAATATACTTTTAGTAATTAAGTATCTAAATTTTACATGCCCAGGTTGCAAGCTCAATCCTCAGTGGTGAACATGCAGGAGGCAGCCTATCAATATCAATGATTCTCTTTCATCAGTGATGTTCCTCTCTCTCCCTCTCCCTTCTTCTCTGAAATCAATAAAAATATATATTTTTAAAAGACTTTCAACCCCTACTTCAGCAGAATCAGAGCCAGTGCCCCACCCCAAGGAGGTACAGAGGCCCTCTTCCTGGGCAATCTGCAGTTTCTTCTAGGAGCACCCTGCCCTGATTCACAGAGTGAAAGCCATACAGAAAGTTCACATGAAGGAGAAGTGAAACAAGGCAGAGAGCAAGGAGGGAAGGCAGACACTGTTCCTGCTAAGTTCCCCACTGTCATCCTGTTCTCTGTTCCCCCAGTGGGGCCTCAGATGGGGAGACAACTAAAAGATGAGGGGTTTCTTTCCATCCACATAATTCCAAGCACTAATATGGCTAGAAATCTTCCTTAAAAACAGGAGAAAAATCATTGTGCAATAGGTAGTTGTGGCCAACAAGCTTGGGAATTCAGGTCCTTCACATGAGGCTATTATGCAGGATTTCAGAGAACAGAAATGCAGGATGACATTATCATTGTGTGTCTAACCTGCCATAAAAGGAAAACGTTGTTCATGGGGAAACTCCCTCCACTACATTTTGATTTATAAAAGAAGGCTCTCAAGATGGGTGAGAAGAAAGAGGGCACAGTTAGAAGAAAGTGGAATGAAAATAATAATAATAATAATAATGCTTCCTTGCAGGTCCAAGAATTCCCAGAGATAAACATATGAACTTTAAACGCTCTATACTTCCCGTGACCTGTGGTCCAGCAAAGGGGGAATTATATAAAGAGAAAATGAAACAAGGTAAGTTTCCTGGTCTTCTACGCTTTTCAACTGGAAACTATCCATGTGGATATTATATTGTTCAGGGGCTAGACACCTGTGTCAGGGTCCCCGAGACCATCCCAACTCTTGGTGATTTACTAAGAGGACTCACAGGACTCAGCATATAGTCTAACTCATTGCTATGATTTATTAAGTTGACACAAAGCAAAATCAGCAAAGGCAAAAGCACATGGGACAAAGTCCAAAATCAATAGTGCCAGTTTCCAAAGGTCCTCTCCCAGTGGAGTCATACAGGACACATTTAATTCTCCAGCAGCAACTCATAACAACACATGTGAGATGTTGTCTATCAGGGAAGCTGCCCTGGCCTAGGAGTCACAGGGTTTTTATCAGGACTTAGCCACATAGGTACACTTTACCTCGCATCTGCCAAAATTCCAGATGTCCAGAAAGAAAGCAAGTGTTCAGCACATGCCCCATGGGAACGGTGGGACCCCTCCCAAAATCCAGGCTTTCAGATGTCAGCCAAGGATCAGCCTTGGAAGCAGACATTTCTAAAGGTAGTTGTCTCAGGTTTGTTCTCTTAGATCTTTCCTGCACAGCATCTCAAATAGACTGGAGGAAAGATGACATTTCCTCACTTTTAAAATTCATAAACATTAGCCTACCAGGCTATCTTTCCTTTCCCCCCAAGGAAAAGGTCCCTATAATGCCCATCCACCACCCAACCCAAGAACAAGTGCTTCAATATCAGGGTAGAAATGTACACATTTGAGAAATACAACAACAATTTCACAGTCTCATTCCCTGCAACACCTGTACCACCTTTTTTAAAAAATATATTTTATTGATTTTTCACAGAGCGGAAGGGAGAGGGATAGAGAGTTAAAAACATCAGTGAGATAGGAACATCGATCAGCTGCCTCCTGCACACCTCCTACTGGGGATGTGCCCACAACCAAGGTACATGCCCTTGGCCGGAATCGAACCTGGGACCTTTCAGTCGGCAGGCCGATGCTCTACCCACCGAGCCAAACTGGTTAGGGCACCTGTACCACCTTATGCTGGCCAGGAGCACAGGTTTTAGAATCAGGATACCTGGCTTGGAGTTTCAGCTATATCAAGAGTGTCTGTTGCAACTGGACCAAGCCATTCTCTCTCATCCTAAACTCCTCCTCTACAAAATGGGAATAGTAATAAAACTTGCTTCACCATATTATTATGAGAGGAAAAATGGAATAACAGATATAAAATAACTTGAAAATTATAATTGTTAAAGTACAGCACAAATGTTTGGCAGCCAGGATTGATTCCCCCTCCCAAAATAGAGTTCTTTAGACATCAACAAGTATAAATGTGTGCCCTATGACTATATTGCATATGAGTAATTTAACTTTTCCTACCACATAACATTTCCATAATTACTTTCCACATAAAATAGCCATGAATCCAAAATATGAGAAATAATTGCTGCCATTAACTGGATTATCAACATTGCACAAGACTAGACAGATGTGGCTGTGGTGACAGCTGCCACTTGGCCACCTATGTGCCCTCATCTACCCTCTCTGAAATTCAGCCTGGCTCTATCCTGAGTCTCAGAGAAGGGATGGGAAAGAATCCTCGTCTTTTTTTTTTTAAGAGCCATACTTTTTTTTCTCTCTCTCTCTTGAATATAATTAAATACTTTTAAAAGAAAATGTTAGTAATAATTATTGCCCTTCTCATTGCACAGTAAAGGAAAGTGTGCACGCATGGCAGGAAGTCCCTTCTACCACCGCCCTTCAGGTTGTTGTGGGGCCCCTGAGAGGGAACTCAGCTCTTCTGGGTTGTTGATTCTAAGCCCAAAATGGGTGGTAGGAGGCCAAGTTCTAGGGTTTTCACAGTCAGGGACACTCCCTGGCAACAAAGGGAACTCAACCTGTCTTGCCCGGTCTCACAGGAATCACAGCAAAGTGTATAAAGACAAATGATGGGAAGCAGCTCACCCTCAAGGAATTTGAAATTGAAGGAAACTATGAAAGGTCCAAGAATTGGAGGCTGAGTGTGCGCTGCGGTGGATATACCCTGAAAGACCTGATTGAGGTATCCTAATGACAAAGGGCTTCCATTAAGGATGGAGTGTCATAGTTCACAAACTCCAAGCTTTATCGATGTTCAGAAAACCATCATGACTTCCCTTGCGCAGGTCACAATGCATGCTATTACTGACTAACATTCCACTCCGGTGTTATCTTGGCCAGTTTATCACAGTGAAATCCTAAGTGCATGAACTCTTCTCCCTTTGAAGGTAGACAGTAATTGTGGCCTTGACTCTGTCACTAGTAGTTGCCACTGTGTAATATGGTCACAGGAAAGTAATTTAAATTGGGGAATGGGGGGCAGAGGAGGCCATCTTAGGCTCTGGGGACCAATAAAATAGCATAATAATGTATCTGGGAGGCACTGGAAATACCAAGCTCAAAATAGTAGAAAAAGTACAGAAGTACAAAGAGGACACAAAGACTCCTTACAGCATTAATCTCATTTCTCTTTCAGAAAGGATTTCTACCAGACCCGCCGAGAACAAGAAAGGTAATTATCGCATGACTTTCTGCCTATATCTCACCTATAATATTGTTGATTTTCCATTTCTCTGGCCTTATTCTGTGGCTCCTAACTTCATTAATTCTAGTAAAATTTGATTTATAATATGGGGATTTTTGCACCTGCTGCTTTCAAACATTGCAGTGTCAGAGACCAGAACTTCTTTAAGCATTAAAACATAAGAGATAGAGGTGAGACTAATCCTTTAAAATAGATAATGAGACAGAGCTGACCTTATATGATTGTTTCAACTTCATTGTCTAGCATGGAAGAATAACTCATGGGGTGGGGTGGGGTTCTAGGACACCCAGAGATGCAGGCAGTTATATGGCCACCTCTTTGATCATTATGCCTTGGGTCCACTGGGTGGTTTCTCTATGGCCTCTCTGCCCCAGCTGGAGGTAAGAGCTGAGGTAGTCATTGCCCCAGGCTGAAAGGAGGCCCAGTCATTTCACAGATACCCAAGGTCAATGCAAGCCCTTGGGATTCAGGAGACAGTGGAGAGGTACTCACCTTCAAGAAAAGATGCAGAACTGGGACTTTTTACCCATTTTATCTTTAGTGCTGTATCCCAGGAGACCTTCAGAAGGCCGTGGAGTCTGCAGAAACATTTCTTTGGCACCCAGGACTCTGGGCCCTGAGGTCACTGGGGGCTGTGGGCGATGAGTCCTCAGTTTGAGTCTCTCATTTAAGTTCCCACTCCATCTGTGAAAACCAGGGCCAGCCTTCCTCACTACATGGCTTCACAAAAGCCACCTTGGATCTAAGATCCACAGAATGAAATTTGCTTTGGGCCAAACCATCACTGACACATAATTTAATGTTTTTTATTCTCCAATTAGATATATAGACTCACAAAAGGAGATGTAAAGCAAAGGGAAGGCATGAATCCTTTGCATAAAAAATATGCTCAAATGTGTGGTTAATGAAAACTCATATTCAATATTGTCACTCGGTCTTTCTCTGTTTTCTATAGATAGTACCAGATTCTCACAGTGATAACATTATTGACCCATATGTAAGTATTGCCACCTGTACCCGAGAATAATCTAGGCCTTTTCAATACATTATCTCTGTCATGCTGTCTTTCCCTGAAGCATGCTCACACTCAGTTAGAACATGTCGCTATGTGTGATGAGTAAAGAACAGCAGATGCATCACCCATGCCAGGTAGATGGTTCTGGAGTTGGCTGTCTCAATGTGAAAGCATCCTTTCCATTTGTTTGGTGGAAACCTTCCTATTTTCCCATTAGTATGGGAGGCAGAGCTCTAAACCACTGGGGTCTCTAGAGATGGGTCTTGAAGTAGAAATGGGCAGGGCTAGCCTGCCGATTAGGGGTAGGGAGCAAATTCGAGAGGATAACAGAATTTTAAAGAAAGCAGAAGGAAAGAGAAGGAAAATCTCAAACATCCACTCCATGGTTCAGGCAGTGATAAGATAGTTTCATACATCAGACAGAAGGAATAGACCTCACCAGGCTGATGAGTTCAAGGTGTACATCCTGTGATGAGTCCTGCAGAGAAATGTACTGAGTGTTCCCCAATTGTGTAACATGGGGAAATAACTAATGGGGTGGGTGGGGGTCCTAGCACACTCAGAGAGGCAGGTGGTGTCACCTCTCAGGTCATTATGCCTTGGATCAAACTGGGTAGTTTGTCCATGGCCTCTCTGCTCCGGGCTGGAGGTAAAAACTGAGGCAGTCATTGTTCCACACTGGAAGGACATCAATTCATTCTAACAATACCTAAGGTTCAGAAACCTTGACCCAAAAGCCTAACAATAGGTGGTCAGCATCCATGAGTCTCATTTGTTATGACAAAAGAGGATAAACAATTACATGGCCCCATGCCAGAGTCAGGAAGGCCCATGTGGGGATGTGCCCAAGGATGTCCCTAATGAGGCATTATACAAGTTTTCCTATTGAAAGGAAAAACATGGGCAAGAGACACATTGCAGCTTAGAATTTCCTCATACATGTATGTAAGTTTTGTATCTCTTCTTATATTAAACTTATAAATGAAGAGAATGTGCAAACTGGGGTACAGTCCAATTCACCCAAGCTCATTGGACCCAGAGATGATATTCTGACTGTTATGATTTGTAACTTTGGTAGCAGACCTTTTTTTTTTCCTAATAAGATGGTATTATGATTAGGGCCTCTACATTCTTATAGCAGTGGAACTCACAGAAGCACTGAGAATGAGATGAGATATTTAAAAATTTGGACTTGCAACACTGTTGATGGATTGGATATCTAGGTGTGGAGAAAAGCAGAATCCGTCTTCAATTCTGGGCTCCTGGGTGAATTATGGGTTCCTTGGTGAGATGGGAGCTAAAAGAGGAGCAGATTACAGACAGGAAGACAAGGAATATAGTTGGGGACAGGGTGGATTTTAGACTTGATGAAAGACTTCTAACTGGAGATGATGGAAAGTAGAGTGTGGAAGTTTAGAGTCTCAGAAGGAGACTAGAGACACAGGTTTTAAAGTCTAAGGATAAGTAAGGTAAGCATGGTCATGGGAGCGGTGAAGGAGGGGGGGTGTAGGACAGAGCCCCAAGGAATTCCAACATTCTAAGTGAGGAGCCTTCAAGAAGAGGCAGAGTCTTATGGGGGTAAATCCAAGGGAGCAGAGAGTCAGAGAACAAAGCACAGTGTTTCTAGAAGGAAGAAGTGGAATGGCACTTCCTGTCACCTCCTCACTTCCTCACCACCCACCAGCATCTCAACCGCCCATCACTGAGTGAGCCAGTCCTCAAGTCTGTGCATTATGTTGTACCTACGTTATCACAGGACAATGTGAATTCCTCCTTCTAACCCATTGTGTAGACAAGATATTTTCATCTAAGTGTAGAGCTGTTACCAACACATTGGGTGAGACATTCCCCCACCACAGAGTTCTCCTCAAACAGTTATCTATCTGCTCAGGTGGAGCCAAAAACTTCTGGACATTTCTCCATCACAGACACATGACCCTCATACATAGAAATTTAATATGTAGAGATTCACGTGTTATTGCCACATAGATTATCATCCACACACAAAATAAAGAAAAACATGATTTTTCTCACAGCCCAATGGATTCATTCCTTGGCCAATTCTTACTTTTGTCTATAATTTCTACCATCTTCACTGTGTTTTTTTCATTCCACAATACTTAGATGCAAACACTGTCAAATTATTGACTTCACTCAATGAAAGTAAATCTGGCTGAAGGACCTGCATATTAAAATTGTGGAAGACCCAGCATCATTCAGTTTTGTGGGTTCTTCCGTCTTCCTTATATAGAACAAAGCACCAGATCATCCATGAACCCAGTGGTTGTCATTACCATACTCTCTGGCCATTCAGAAATGGCACCTCCACACCTTTCATGCCAAGCTGAGTTGGGCATCTTCCCCAGCCTCCCAGAACTAAAGAGCTCAGTCTAGCCTGGCATTTACCTGGTCATCTATGCCCAGGGTCTCTCCAATCCAGAGGTACTGTCACAGGCCTAGGGTCCCTCCAGGCACAAACTCCATCGTCCAGTAATACCTTCCCAGGCTCTTAAACTCATGGGGAACTTATGGTTGAGAAAATGAGGTGCAGTGATATCTCAGGAGTTTATTCCATCATATTAAATTCCCAGTAAATCACTCTTTGATGAGTCAGTTTTGATGAGACAATATAGACAACCAGATAAGACACTGAATTTCTGAACCATATTTTTCCAACAGAATAATAAATATCTCAGATTATCTTTAATTCACCCTCTTTGTTGCTAGCCAAATCTCTGTCTCCATAGGGAAAACTTTCCTGACCTAATACAGCCACTTCCTCCTGAACGTCGCTGCAGACCAAAATGTCTTCTAAAAATCTCTACTCAGATATCTTTACAGACACAGCTCCTGGGGCAATGTAGACTAAGGAGAAAATAAAATAAAAAATGGGACTACATCAAAATAAAAACTTTCTGCACAGAAAAAAAAAATCAATAAAACAACAAGAAAGCCCACTGCATGGGAGAACATATTTGCAATGATATTTCAGATAAGGGTTTAATCTCCAAAATTTACAGAGAATTCATACAACTTAACACAAGGAAGATAAACGATCCAATCGAAAAATGGGGAAAGGATCTAAATAGACACTTTTCGAAAGAGGACATACAGAAGGCCCAGAGACATATGAAAACATGCTCAAAGTCACTAATCATCCAAGAGATGCAAATCAAAACGACAATGAGATACCATCTCACACCTGTCAGAATGGCTATCATCAACATATGACAAGTGCTGGTGAGGATGTGGCAAAAAAGGAACCCTCCTGCACTTCTGGTGAGAATGCAGACTGGTGCAGCCACTGTGGAAGACAGTATGGAGTTTCCTCAAAAAGTTAAAGATGGAACTCCCATTTGACCCAGTGATTCCACTTCTAGAAATATATCCCAAGAAACCAGAAACTCCAATCAGAAAGGATATATGCACCCCTATGTTCATAGCAGTGCAATTCACAATAGATAAGATTTGGAAACAGCCTAAGTGCCCATCATCAGATGAGTGGATTCAAAAACTGTGGTACATCTACACAATGGAATACTATGTCGCTATAAAATGAAGGAACTTTTACCATTTGCAACAACATGGATGGAACTAGAGAGCATTATGCCAAGCAAAATAAGCCAGTCAGAGAAAGATAAATATCACATGATCTCACTCATATGTGGGATATAATGATCAAAATAATTTGATAGACAAGAATAGATCAATCTAGAGACAAATGGTAGGGGATGGGGGTTAGAGAGCAACCAAAGGACTTGTATGCATGCATATTAGCATAACCAATGGACACAGACACTGGGGTGGCCGGAGCTTGCCCAAAGCGGGAATGGCTTGGGGGCGGGGGGAGGGGGGGTTGATTGGGGAAAAAGGAGTCATATGTAAAACTTTAGACCATAAAAAAATACTAATAAATAAATAAATATCTCTGCTCAGTGTTATTCTTTAATATTACAAGTTTCACCTTGGTACAAGCAAAATCTGTGTGTTCTAGAGTCTAATGAAATCTCACTGTCCTTCTGGAATCTCACTGATCCCAGTGATTTCTACATTATCTCCCTTTCTAGCCAGAAAACTCAAATATATGTGAGATGTGCCATAAAGGAGGAACGCTATTTTGCTGTGATACTTGTCCAAGATCCTTTCATGAGACATGCCACATCCGTCATATTGATCCTCACAGGTTAGTGACACTTGGTCCCCTCTTGCCCTTCCTTCTTGTGGTAGAGCTCTTCCCACCATGCACACTCAGCCTGCAAAGTTTATCTGGTTGTATGTGTCTTGATGCAGAGGGAGCAGGGCCCTTAAGTATCAGGATCCAGAATTATGATCCAGAGCTATTTAACTGTGCTGGCAGCAGTAGATTCATGGGAAGTGAAAATTCCTCAAGTGGTTTTTAGGGGGAATAGAAAGAGGTCACCACCACCTCCTCTGCTTTCTTCCCTAACCATACACTTTGATGGGACGGTGACACCGTGCATTAGCTGCCAGTTGGAAGCATATACCACCTGCCTTGGGAACATCTCAAAGCTGGCAAAGCTGGGGCTGTGATGAGTCCTCTGAAGGCCATCCCCACAGTCCACCAAATCAGCTGACACTGCATGACAGGGTCCATAATAAGACTCATGAGTTCTGAGGGTGAGTCCACTGCTACATTTCCTTTGCTGTAAAATGTATCCTTGGTCAGAGGCGATGTATGCAGGCTAACATCGAGATTGGTAAGGCACCTATAAGTGGTGGTGTGGGCAGAGAATGTCTACCAGGAATGTGTGTATCCCCATGAGGACAAAGCATTGCCCTCCATAATGGGAGGAATCTAACGTAACCCAGCTGCTCTCAGGTAGCTCTCAGGCAGTGGTGCCACCTCAGGGATTTGGCATAAACCTCTCTAGTCGGTCAGGCAATCTGCAGAGGCAGAAGACAGATCTACTTTTTTGTTGAACCCACAGATAGACCCCATCCCTGAACCATGGACACTGTGTAATGGGCCTCATTTTTTTCAATTACAATTGGCTGCAGCATTATATTATTCATTTCAGGTGTATAACATAGTCAGTAGACATTTATATAATTTACCTGTTGATGTCCTCAATAAGTCTAGTGCCCATCTGACACCATACATAGTTAACATAATGTTACTATGTTCCCTATGCTATACTTTACATCCCCATGACTGTTTTTATAACTGACAATTTGTACGTCTTAATTTGTAATGGGCCTCTGAGAAAGGACTGAAGTGACCCCGGGGAGAAGCTAAATGATATCTCTACGATGAATCATTGTATCCACCTGATTGTGGAGAGCCTCCCAGCACAGAGAACCTGGGAGAGAGGGCTCTAGAGGCAAATAGAGTATCTGACACTCTGTTGGTAGGGTTCCTTTCCAAGAAGTCTCTGCAGCACAGATTCTAGGTATAGATATGGCAATGCCAGAGGGGAGGATGCCCATGGCTGGTGCTCTGTGCTTATTCAGCAAAGTTGGGAGACAAGAGCTGGTTTCCGACTTTTCCTCTGGCCTGATGGTTCATCAAGGCCCAATACTTTGGTCTTTATGGTACTGGTTGCCAATACACAACGGTGGCAGACAGGGATCGTTACCATACTCACAGTGGCTCAATTGGGAATCCTAAGTGTTGAGGTGAATGAGAGCCCATCACCCACTATGGCACCTAACTCAACGGACTACTTATGGGAGGGGTGTCTTTGGTAATTGAGTCTAAATGGGACTCTAGTGCGGAGGGGTTTTCAAGAGAAAAGTTGGCTTCAAGGTGGTAACCAACAGTCCTTTTGAGGACTTCAACAGCTGCAGGAACAATGGCTGTTTCACAGAGAACCCGCCCCTGCTCACTTCATGTCCTGCCTCTCAGGGTCCCATGGAGTTGCATCTTCTGCGAGATAAAGTTTATTCAGAAAATGTGTCCAGAAAGTCAGCCATGTCATCAGGAATCGGAGATCCTAGAAAGGAAGATGCTGCATGAGGAGCACTTGGTGAGTTGCAAGGGGAAGCTGAAGCCTCCTCCTTTCTGTTCACTTGAGAGAAGAAGCAGTCTTGCAGGGGCTGGAGGAATGCTGCCCAGAGGCAAGCATCTGTGCTTCTTCCTCTGTGCTTTGATCACACCTAACACCAAAATTTGTATCCAAAGGAGATCCCGTTCTGTGTTTGTTTCAGAGTCCATGGGTTTGGGCGTTGTGCATTCTGCCTGAACATGCAGGGCAGTTCATTCTCTCCAAGCTGCTTTTTACTTAAGATCTCCTCTATCTTTTGCAGAAATGTGAGTTCCTCCTCTTGAAGGTCTGTCGCTGGTCAAAAAGCTCCTTTTTTATCCAAAAACCATATTATGTAAGTAATAGCAACAAAGCCCCAAACTGGCATTTGTCAAATCTGTGGTATGAATGCAATAGGTACAAGTTGCCATTATCATTGCCTTGTTGATGGATGTCTCAGTCAGCTTAGTCAGCCCCTAGCAGCTTAGGCTGCTATAACAAAGTACCACAGACTGGGTGGCTTCAACCATAGAAATTTGTTTCTCACAGTTCTCGTGGCCGGAAGTCCAAGATCTGAGTACCAGTATGGTCAGATTCTGACAAGAGCCCTCTTCCAGGTTGCAGACTGACAACTTCATGTTGTATCCTCACATGGTAGAAACAGGGAGAGAGCTCTCTGGGGTCCCCTTACAAAGGGCATTAATCCCATTCATGAGCACTCCACCCTCCTGACCTAATTATCTCCCAAAGGCCCCGTCTCCTAATACCATCACATTGGGAGTTGGAATTTCAACATCTGAGTTTGTGGGGGGAGGGACATAAACAGTCATAGCAGTGAGAGTCTATAGAAAGTAGACTTGGAACCATGCCAATAGCCTGCCCTTTGGCATTTTCATCCACAGAGTAAAAGGCGATCTCAGAGCCTGAAGAAGTGCATGTGGTTAAACAAAATCAGAGAAACACTGGCTTCAAAGTTGTACCTCCAAGTGAAGGAGTTTGTGCAGGACATGCGCCTCATCTTTCAGAACCACAGGAAAATTTATGAGGTAAGTGGCTGTCCCTGCATCCCTTTTTCTTTCGATTAAGTCACTTTGCCTTTCCTCTTCTCATATCAGGTAAATGTTACAGCTTTCCTCATCATGCGGCAACCACACACAAGTAAAAACTCTAGAAGGATTCTAAAAGCCCTGTGGTCAACAGAGGTGAAAATATAATAATCAACCAGAGGTATCATTGCAAACACTGTCCTAGGATCTCAGAGTCTGCTCACTGCTAGATAGCCGATTTTGTCCCAGAGAATAGTAGCCTGCAGATCTAGTCCCTCCACAGGAAACAGAAGTGCTTTTTAAAGGCAACCAGTGTTTCTCTTCTCTAAAGGAAGATACCAAATCAAATTTCTCAAATTTCAAAATCTTGGATTTCTTTACATCCAAATCCCCTAGTGCTGTGTCAAAAAGTTAACAAGGCCCTAGCCCATGGTAGGCAAACTGCAGCTCCCGAGCCACATGTGGCTCTTCGGCCCCTTGAGTGTGGCTCTTCCTAAGCCTTAGGAGTACCCTAATTAAGTTAATAACAATGTACCTACCTATATAGTTTAAGTTTAAAAAATTTGGCTCTCAAAAGAAATTTCAATCGTTGTACTGTTGATATTTGGCTCTGGTGACTAATGAGTTTGCCGACCACTGTGTGCTGGGGTCCAACCCCAGCGGGTCCAGGGGTCCCCAAAGGTGTGGACGGAGTCGGCGAAGAAGGAATGACACGGGGACAGCGTTCAGTTGATCAGCAGCCTAGCCAGGATCTTCAGCCAGGATCTCCAGCCAAGTTCTGGTCTGGATCTCCAGAGAGGTTCTGCTTAGGATCTCCAGCCAGGTTCTGTGTCCATGTTCTCTTGCTAGGTTCTCCAGGTTCTCCAGTCAGGTTCTGTAGCCATGTTCCCTCGCTAGGTTCTCCAGCCAGGTTCTGTCCAGGTTCTCCAGCCAGGTTCAGTTACCAGGTTCTAGTCAGGTTCTCTTGCCAATTTCCGTAGTCAGGTTCAGTCCAGGATCTTTTGCCATGTTCTCTCGCTAGGTTCTGTCTCTAGGTTCTGAGGCCAGTTTCTGTCCAGGATCTTTTGCCATGTTCTCTCCAGCGAAGTTCTTCTGTCTCTAGAGAACGTTCTGTGTAGGTTCTGTGCCTAGGTTCTCTGTCTCTTGGTTCCGTATTCTAAGTTCTGTGTCTTGCTGTCTTATTACATCTGTATTTATACCAGTTGATTCAATCCTTTCAATCTCTATTACAAAGGTTAGGGCGTTTCTTATCTTCATTCCAGGGAGTAAAGATTATGTAGCTTAAGCATGATTGTTCGTAGTTAAAGTGATTAATTACCCACCTGGCACTAGTTAAGAGGTTTTATTCCCTCCCTAACTTCAGGGGAAAATCCCTACCTGGGGAAACAACCTTTCTCAGAGACCTTGGTTAAAACACATAGTGCCAAGAAGGTGAGCAAACATATTAAGAACAGTATGCCATATATGCCAGGTCCCTTGAAACAGCAAGCATGGACCGGCTCCCGGCAACTGTGGCCTAGCCGGTTTGGCTCAGTGAATACAGCGTCAGCCTGTGGACCAACAGGTCCAAGGTTCAGTTCCAGTCAAGAGCAAGTACCTCGGTTGCAGGCTCCTCCCTGGCCCAGGCTCTGGTCAGGGCTCATGAAGGAGGCAACCAATCAATGTGTTTCTCTCACATCTATGTTTCTCTGTCTTTCCCTCTCGCTTCCAATCTCCCAAAAACCAACAACAACAAAGATCAACGGAAAAATATCCTCCAGTGGAAAAATAGCCTTGGGTGAGGATTAACACACACACACACACACACACACGCACACGCACACGCACACGCACACACATTAACAAGGATTGCCTCAAGGTGTGAGAATGAAGGGAGAGGAAGGCACAATGAATTTACTGTAGACATTTCCATACTACTATACTGTTGCAAATAATATGTGCTGTGCTCAAAACTTAAATAACTTCTATTTTGTCAAATTAAATCAATCAATTTTTGGTGAAGAATTAGGCTGCAAGATAGTACTATTTTTGCTTCTCTGTCTTCCAGATAAAGAGAAATGATCAAGCTATCAGGGAACATTAGCTATTCCTAACTGGATGAAGTCTCACTTAACATTTGGGGGTGGCCTAAATGAAGATCTTGATTACCTGAAACTTTGGGTAACTGGCAATGGCTAATACTGTTTTTCTCTTTGCTTTTTCAGGGCCAGAAATTCATCATGCTGGGAATTCAAATAGAGGCCGAATTTGAGAAAAACTTCAAAGACATTTTTGGAATTCAGTAAATCAGCAAGAACAGTTCTCAGTCCAAGCCCATTACTTTGTGATTTTTGTCCATTTCTGTTTCCCCCTTCAGAGACTCCAGCAGTACATGGTCAAGTGCACGTGGTCCCGCTGACCATTCTGCCTAATGATATGCAAAAACATTCACATCACACTTCTTTTTTCAAACTTATTTTGTCATTATTTCAGCTCATTTATTTTTCTAAATAGAAAACGTATAATTGCTTTGTCCAGATCTCTTATTAAATAAATTGGAGTGAAATTTACAATAAAAATATTGAGTCTTTCTATAAAGAATCATATCATGTGCTTCCACTTATTTAAATTATTATGTTGTTAGTAAAGTTTTCTCTCCTCTCCTTCTCCCCACATAGAACTTATTCATTTCTTGCTTTTTCTTTTTACTGTCAGGTATTTTATACTATTTCTTGTTATTATGAAAGTGGCCTTTTTCCTATTATAGTTTCTTACTTATTGTTGCCTGTTATAGAAAACTACTGTTATTTATATATTTTGGTAAAGCCAGTGTTATTTATGTAGTTTGGTTACTGATCACCATTCTGCGTACTTTGTTGCCTTTTACCCCATGGCATCAGGAAGCACATAGCATAGCATACTATTCTCAACATTTAATTCATAGGGTCAGAATCCTAATTGGTACAGCTGATAAAAGCATTCCTCATGCACTAAAACCTCTGACAGTTCTTGGTTCTGTTGGGGAATGGCTCTGCCATGACATCCTGGTGACCTTGCATGTCTCCACACGGCACACATAGGCAAGACTTAAATGCAACTGATCTGATTTAGGCCTTGGAAGAATGCCCGGTGATTTTTCCAAAACATGAGAGCATGGGAGACTTGTGAGGAGCTGCTACAAAGCCATTTTCCATTCATCGCCTTATCTTCCAGAGGCTATCATGACTCACTCTCCTTTCATTCCAAGTTCTGATGAGGTCTGAAGCCTTCTGATTCTTTATTTAGGGCAAAGCTGGAGGCTATTCAACTGCTGGCTGCAACATGAATGTGGACCACCACTCATGTCACACCATAAGGCATCCACAATCCCTTTGTTTGGATATCATCCTATGGTACAGAGGACATGGGAAGCTGGTACCTTTGCTTTTTTTTGTTTTTGTTGTCTATGTAAGTATCAAACTGTCTGAATAGTAAAATGCACTCATCATTTCTTTACCAGTCAAATCTTTTAGCTTTGCTTGACAGGTTCTCAGACCCAAAATATTCCGGTTATAGGTAAAAGAATACCACATATTGATAGCTGGTTCAGAGTATACACTATACTAGTGGTTCTCAACCTGTGGGTCGCAACCCCTTTGGGGGTTGAATGACCCTTTCACAGGGGTCACCTAAGACCATCTTGCATATCAGATATTTACATTATGACTCATAACAGTAGTAACATTACAGTTATAAAGTAGCAACGAAAATAATTTTATGGTTGGGTCACAACATGAGGAACTGTATTTAAAGGGCCAGAAGGTTGAGAACCACTGTGTTATACCATTCAGAAAAGTACCTCAGCCTCAGGAATTATTGTCTCCAGCTGACTCCAATGCACCATGTCACCATTCAATAATAAGATTATGTTATTGGAATAGAAAATGTTGAAGATTAAATGAATTTATAAATGTCAAATGTTCAAAATCATGTCTGAAACACATGAATGTGTCATCGTGGGTACACACAGTAGGGATTCTGTATTCAACATGTTAACTCAAGCAAAAGGCAGCTGTTCTCATTGTCCATTCAGCTAGTTGATGGAAACAGAAATAAATGGAGGCCATAAAAACCAAGGTTGACACGTTTCCTAGCCCTTCCCAAAGAGACCAATGTCTATTTTCCAAGTTAATGGAAAAAGGAAATACCCATATCCTTAAAGGATTATTGAACAAGGATCCTCAGCTAATTCTAGAGGCCGAAATGCCATAATGACCTAGCAGAACAGGTTAGGTGTTAAATGCAATAACTATCTCATAGTCGATTTAATCAAAAAACATTTCTTATTACAATTGATGGAATAATTTAGGTATGGTTCAAAAATAAACGTGTCTACAGCTCTGTCTCCCTTTACTGATGTCATAACTGTAAAAGGAAGTCACCTAAATAGGTAAAATGTTCAGAGTTCCTGCCAGAGAATAAACTTTCTTCTGGGACTACAGTTATTTAGAAAAATGGATAAATTCCATCACACACCAAGCAAATATTTTATCCTTGAAGCTCTTTCTTGCAGCATATTCTATTTTAATACTTTAGCTCCTAAAAAAGTTATATTTTTCACTTAGGTTTACAGTCTAAATTCTGACTGGGGTTTTTCCCCCTTTTAACTTCTTTTTGTGTGCTTTATTGTGTTAGGGGATTCAGTGATGCATCATTATTATCTAGAATTGGTTGGTTTTTCCAGTCTATCATTTTCCATTTGTAGCAGAGATAGTAGTGTTCACCAAATATTGCATATATCCTCCAAAATTTTTCCATTTCCTTGCATTAGGACTGACTAATACACTTACCAATGGGCTATGATCAGAGGTGGCATGTGTCATTTGCAAACTAATTCATAGGAGAGCAGTGAGATTCTCCATGCACTCTCTCTCCTACCACGTTGATTATGGAAGCCTGGTTTTGAGAGGACAGAGCCCAAAGACTGAAACAGCTTAGTACATGTACCTACTACCACCTCAGAGTGCCTCCCAGATGCACCATGGGCTTTGAGTAAGCAAGAAGTAAACTTATTTGTGTAAGCCAGTGGAACTGAAAATTGTTTATGGTCACCACACAAGCTAACAAGTCCTGACTTATTTGGTACTGAAAACAACAGAGAACACTTGCAGGAGTGAACTTTGGGTTTGGGGGACCTTTGTGCCAGGAACTAGAGACAAAGGCCAAATACATATTTTTTATTATAGGCATGCTATCTTGTTTCTATTCTGATGTCAACATATGAACACATGTACAATAAATAGAGCCTTGCCTCCCACATTTCCCAAGAATGGGTTCCCAGGATTAGTGAACCATGGTCTGTGGAGTGCACTCAAAGTGAAATGTACCAAGCCCAGCTGGTGTGGCTCAGGTGGTTGAGGGTCGATCCACGCACCAGGAGGTCGCTGGTTCAATTCCCAGTCAGAGCACATGCCTGGATTATAGGCTCAATTTCCAGTGGGGGATGTGCAGGAGGCAGCCAATTGATGTTTCTCTCTCACTGATGATACTCTCTCTCTTCTTCTCTCTGAAATCAACTTAAAAAAACTATATTTTTTTAAAGTAAAACACGTCAAGAAACAGGAGCTCTGAATTCAGATGCCAGGTGCTCTGCAGGCTGAGGCTGGCCATCCTCACACTCCTCACCAGGTCCACATCTTGGTGCTGATATCTGGGCTTCCGGAGGCACTTCCTGCCCATTGGATTCACTCCTGATCACTGCGCAAAGGAACAAAACCCCTAAGGAGTCTCAATGTGGGGCCCATGAGGCAGCAGAAAACCCATAATAAG